GACCGGCATCCGAGTGGACGCGAGGGCAAGATGAACGGACACGATGAGAGCTCTGTCGCCATGTCAGGAGCCGCGTGGAGGCGCGTGAGTGCACCCTGTGCCGCCGCTGTTGCCATTGGGCGGAGCGGGACCTATCTGGACCACGAAAGGGCAGCGGGCAACGTGCTCTGGCTCTCTGGCGCCTTCCTCACAATTTTGGCTGCCTGGGGCCTCGCTTGGAGGCCTCTCCCCCCGCGCTTTTAGATGCCTCGTGGGTCGTCATTCGCGGGTTCACACATGCATTTTCCCCACGCCCTCCTGCACTGGGGCCTCGTTTCGAATAGACCACTCCTGCCACCTCCTCCTTCTTCCGCCTCCCCCTGACTCCTCCGTTCCTCCCTCCTCCCTCCCTCCTGCCACCCTACCTCCTGCCTACCTCTTGATGCCCCCTGCCTCGCTTCTCTGGGGACCGCCAACAGCGCAAATGTCGCCACTTTCGTGAGCCCGTGGGAGGTCCGGCGGAGTGGGGCGGCCACGACGGCGGACGATCCTGTCGCGCCGGCGATCGCCGAGGAACGAGGCACGGAGAGTGGGCGCGCCTGCCCTTCCCCGCCGCCCGCCAGATCGACACCTTCACCCGCCCCTTCCGACGCTGCGGCCAGGAGAGAGAGAGAGAGAGAGAGAGAGAGAGAGAAAAGGAGGGAGAGGGAGAGAGAGGGATGGCTTGCCATCGCTCGGACGTCCATTCCCTGTGTTTTTTCGGTTTAGTGCGTGTTTTTTTTCGGTGCCTAATGATCAAGGATGGTCCTCGATGGCCGTCGCCGAGAAAAAATGCACACGTCCGAGCGATGCCAAGGCGAAGGGAGGGGTGATGACCATGGCAGTGGTGCATCGGCGGGTGCGCCGCGCCCCTGCGCGGCTGGCCCAAGCGGGGCCTCCTTCCTGGGCCCGGGAGCGGGCCAGAGCTCTGGATCAGCAGCTGTGGCCAGCAAGCTCGCCCGCCTCATCAATAGAAGAATAACAAACGTCATAAACATAAACGTCTGGCGCTCCGCACGGATTTCTTGGATGCACGCTGGACCCCCTCCCTGGCACGCGGAACGCGCCAGGGGCGGCGCCGCCAGGGGGGCCCAGCGCGGGTCCAAGAAACCCGCGCGGAACACCAGAAGTTTCGGTGTATGGCGCTCTTTCTTCTCCGAGCCTCAACAAGATGGGAGGAAAAAGGGAGCGAACCTCCTCCTCCTCCTCCTCCTCCTCCTCTTTCTCCTCCTTCTATTATTCCTTTTCTTCTTCCTCCTCATCCTTCTCCTCCTCCTCCTCCTCCTCTCCCTCCTCCTCCCCCTCCTCCTAACGAACGAACGCCGGGAACGGACGGGCCGACGAGCGGCCGTTGGCAGCTGCTGCTCTCCGCGGTCGCAGGAGGCGGGGCAGGCTACAGGTGCGAAGGCCGGCCGCGCTCGTGGGGGCGCCCCACCCCCGCGGCACAGGAACAGCCACACTGGGGTCAGGAGGAGGAAGGGAGGGCGGGGGGAGGAGGAGGAGGAGGAGGAGGAGGAGGAGGAGGAGGAGGAGGAGGAGGAGGAGGAGAAGGAGGAGGAGGAGGAGGAGGAGGAGGAGGAGGAGGAGGAGGACGAGGAGTGACCGTACCAAGAAAGAGACGAGGGCAAGCGGGCAAGACGCGAGAAGAGGGCAAGTGTCCCCGTTCCAGTTCGTCTCAGACAACGGCCTCATCGCGTGCAGTGCGGCAGCGCCGCATTCAGCGCCAGTGGTGTAAAGAAGCGCGGCGCGTGGCACGGCGTGCGTGATGACACGCAGTTTGCTTTAGAAGTGGCATGATGAAAGCGCTGTCCGACGGACAGCTTCAGGAATGGCGTGCTCAGGGTTAGCGTGTTGCCCAGGCGTCCCTAGGCCGACGCGAACGAGGGGGTCCGAGGAGAGGAAGGAACGAGGTAACGCGAGGAAGTGAAGTGCATCAAAGGCCAGGGCCCAAATCGATCCCGAGAGGGGACAGCCCTGGAGAACACCTGAGCCGATTCCGAACATGTATTAAAGACGGCCACCTACACGGGCCAAGGCTCCTGGGGAGAGATAAAGCGCAGACATGACACTGAGATAGCCTGGAGGAACCCCATGAGCTACTAGTGATGCAAACAAAAACTCCCATCCGAAGGATGGGAAAGCAGCTTTGAAGCTGACACGGATAGGGAGAGCATCTGGGGCATCTGGGGGGATGGCCTGCTCTACGGGCCTCAGAGTCTAGGGTCAGTACGTGTTGTTCGAAGTTCCGCCCCTTTACACATTCCGGTTGTGTGTCTATTGTCCGATCCCTGATCATGTCCACGAGACCCACATTCACGACATGAGCGATCAGTTTGGCGTCGCAGTTCTTTAAGGAGAGGGGGCGAGTGGCACCTGGAGCTTGAAAGCCGGCATACTGGTCCTGGGGTTCGTCTCCTTTCGGAAGAAACGCGACGACCGAGTCGTTGAACTGGTACGGGGCCAGGCCCGCTTCGAACATCTGCATCATGAGGTAGGAGGAGGAGGATGAGGAGGAGGAGGAGGAAGAAGAACGAGCTGGCCAACGGGGGCTACCAATGACGTGCAAGAGACAAGTGGCCATCTCAGGGAGTATGGAGGGCAGCGGAGGCAAAGTCACTCGAAAAGAAAACAGCCGTGGCCACTGCTCATGAGAGACCTGCGCGGAACCATGACACTGATGACAACAATGGGGGCGTAGGTGCAAATGCCAGGAGCCGATGATAAAGCCACAGACGCATGATATCACGTCTGCACTGCACAAAGGTGGGGGGCGCCTTGCCGCCGCTTTGCTTGCGCATGGTGTCGGCCTTCGAAGGCGAGCCGCGTCAATGAGGAAGATAGCTGATCGGTAATGACGCTTCTAAGCTTCACATGTGCACTGCAGGAGTAGCGCCGCAGAACGAGTGGCGCATAGCATCGCCACGACGCAGAGAGAAAATCGATGGCATGAAGAGGCGGCTACTTCAGCGCTTGTGGTTCAACGGCAGCCCAACAAGGCCGAGGTGGCCAGGAGGAGGGAAGGAATAGGTGAACAATCGATGACATGCGCCGACGGGCACGCATTGACACCTTGTCGCATGCCTCCCGGGAGGACGCCACTGCGGGGAGAGGCTGGGACCCACATGCAGCAGGTGCGCGACGACAGGGAGAGCGAGGAGAGTCAGATGGTGGGGGACGGGGGGGGAGGGGCAGATCCTCGTGTTAAGTCGGGCGTGTCCCCCTACAGGCAGATTTCGGGCGAAAAACTAACCATTCCCAAACATATGCCAAACATATGCCAACACTAGTCAAAACATCGTCCCTCCACGATGTTCTTACTATCTTCCTTCACTTCTCTCCTGCAGAGGGACGGGCCCGACTTCATCCTCGTGACCTGGTGCGGGCCCTTCCCCCTCCTGGGCACTCCTCCGCGCGGCCTCGGGGGAGGCCGCCGCCTCCGGGAACCTGCCTGCCCCCGCCGAGGCCGCTCCGGGAGCGGCCAAGAGGGTGTCCAAGAGTGGGGGGGGGTGCAGCTCATGACCAGCGGCATGTGCGCGGCCCAGCGGGGAGGTCAGGGACGTCATGGAATGAGAAGAGGCGCCAGGAGATCTGGGGGAATATCCTGGCCCACGCCATGATATCCTCCCCCCCTGGTCATCGCCCCCCTCTTTGCCGCCCCCGACCGCTCCCCCTCGCCGTCTCCGCGCCCCCCCCTCCGGGCACGCGCGGGCTCCCTCCCGTTCGCTTCCTGCTTGCCTCGTCGCAGAAGCCTCCTCCGAGCCTCCCAGACACGCAACGCAGAGCGTCAGATCTCTCTCTCTCTCTCTGTCTCTCCTCCTTCTCTCCCCCGCCCTCTCGTCTTAGGCCCCCGCCCGCCTCGGCCGCGGGGCTGCTGCGCAGCTCGCCGCCGAGGCAACAAAAGGGGGCGGGGGGACGGGGCCGAGGTGCTCGGATTATGTCGGGCGTGTCTGTCCCCCTACAGGCGGATTTTCGACGAAAAAATGCAACATACCACCAACATATTCAAAAAGGCAACACAAATATTCAAAAAGTAGTTCCCGGACATGTGTTTCTTTATTTTTTGTTTATTTTTGGGGTATCTTTTATTGTTCGTCGACAATCCCCCTGTAGGGGGACACGCCCGACTTACTGCTCGGATGCCTCTGAGGCCCCCCCCCCCCCCGAGCCCGCGGGCGCCTCCCCGGGGCCCTCGGAGGCCCTCCGAGGGTCGGCGGCCCCCGCCGCTGGTCGGCCGGCGGCTTCTGAGAGGCGCCGCGAGGGCGTGGCCCCGGCATGGCTTGCCGTCGCTCGGACGTCCACTTCTGAAGGAGCCCCAGGACACACAAATAAATACACACAAATAAAAATATCCCCCATCTTTTCCCATATGTTCCGGGTTTCTGTCTTCCCCCCCACTTCCCATACGTTCCCATCTTCTCTTGGGATCGACGATCAATTGTGTCTGTGTGTTTTTTCCCCTCCTGAACTTCCCGTGCACGTGTCGGCTTCGTGCGTTTTTTTTTTGTTTGTTTTTGCTCGATGGTCCCGGATGGTCCTCGATGGCTCTCGCCGAAAAAAAAAGTGCGCACGTCCGAGCGAGGCCAAGATGAAGCACGGGAGAGGCGCAGAGGAAGAGATCACGAGGGGCTCTTCTGGCCACGGCTCGCCTCGGCCACGCACGGCTTCCCCGGCTACATCAGGATGCGACGAGGATTGGGAGGGGGAAGGGGAGGAGGAGGAGGAGGAGGAGGAGGAGGAGGAGGAGGAGGAGGAGGAGGAGGAGGAGGAGCAGGAGGAGCAGGAGGAGGAGGAGCCCACGAACGGCCCAAAAACCAGAGCCCCTCATGGGCCGAACGAGGCAATAATTTCAGCATCGTAGCTGTAGTTGAAAAGACCGTCCCACGTCTTTGTACAACAGGCCGATCGGAGAGAAAAGCGAACTCGACGGTCGATCGCTGCTTCAAGCCATGCGTTGTTCTTTGAGCTTGTTCCATCTTTCTGGTCTAGCTTCTCAATTCTTCTGTTTTCCATGACGAATGCTCGTATCATGGCGACTCCGAATTCCTCTCATGCCATGACCCTGCCTCTACAAGACGACAGCTTCAGAAACTGGGACGAGCGGTGAGCTGCCGATGGCGTGCCCACTCAATATTGCCCACTCTTGATCGCAGCACCATCTCGAGCAGATCGCCAAGCCTTCACTAGTCGCTCGAAGTTCCACTTGGGAGTTAACTCCAGAGCCTCCCATGTCTTACGAGAGTCAAGCACGCGGCCGCACCGTTTGTCTGGCAGAGCCCAGCCCAAACTCTCGTACATGTCGCGAGCGCCCTCCACGCTTGACGTACAGACGCCTTGCGCCGCGATGTCGACGAGCGGCGATATCGCCGACACGATCAGCGGACCCCTCACAGCCTGGACGGGGGCAGGCTGCGTGGATGTCGACCAGGTGCCGCACACTCGCGAGAGGGCAGCGACGTGCGCAATGAGCACGTCCTCCAGAGAGGCCCGGGTCCCGCACAACAGCTCGAGGGCCTTCACACGCCCGTCGGGGTCGTTGGCGGCCCGGTCCTCGGGCGCCGCGCTCGTATCGTAGGCGTCCTCCACGAAAAAACGGCTGCACCTCAGCACGGCAACGTTCATGCCCGCCTCCCGCAGGCAGGCCTGCTCTGCGGCCTTCTTCGTGACGCCGTATGCGTTCCTCGGAGTGCCGTAGTCCTCTGAAGCCACCTGCACAATAACCTCACATGCCGCGCGCCTTTTCGCTTCGGCAGTGTTCATGAGGGACGTAGTGGAAGAGAATACCATGCCGAGCATAGGCGTCTCCTTGACTACGGAAATTACGTTCCGCGTGCCAGATATATTGACCAGCTCGAAGTCCTCGGCAGAGTAAAAATTTGTCGACCCCTGCTTGCCAGGATTGAAAAAGCGTGTGACATGATTGGCTGTCACCCCTCCCCCTTTCTCCCCCTTCCCTGGGGTTCAAAATCGCGCTAAAGGGGGGCGGTCGAGCTGCTCGACGCATCTCTTGGGCCCCCGGAGCCTCATTATCAACTCCGTGGCTTCCAAGAAGCCTAAGATGCTTTCTAGGATGTCTCATAAGGGTTCCCACACGCCGAAGAGGCCTGAATAACCCCAAGATATTGCCAAGACGGCCCAACACGCCGAAAGAGGGCCGCAAGAGGACCCCCAGGCGGGCCTCAAGACACAAAAATCGTCCACTTTTCCTAGGTGTCCGAATGATTCTCGTGTTCTAGCAGTTTCGGGCGTCTGCAGGCCCGAAGCGGCGCGAGAGGCCCCCAGACTGGCCCACGCCGGCCGAGGGCCCGCAGGATGGCCCAGGAGGCCCCCGATATGGCAATCAGACACCTCAAGAGGCGCCAAGGAGAGCCCAGGAGAGGCCGAAGAGGGGGAAGATGCAGGGGCCCAGGAGCCCTCCCCCACGAGGTGGGTCCCCGCGTGTCAGCATGACCACTTGCCATCGCTCGGACGTCCATTGCTCGTGTATTTTTCGATTTCGTGCGTGCTTTTTTTTTTTTGGCTAAGTCATCCAGGATGTTCCTCCATGGCCCTCGCCGAGGAAAAAATGCACACGTCCGAGCGATGCCAAGGACCACATGAGGTCCTCAAAAAGCCCCCAGAGGAGGCCGCCCTCCAGGCCTCCCAAACAGCCCTCGAGAGGCCCCGCAAGAGACAGGGAGGAAGAAAACGACTCGACCACGAACACACGCGGGCAGCAGCACGGGAAATGGCAAACAACACACACACAACTCCGGATGCCGCAGATGTCCCCTCCTGGGGGTCGGCGGAAATGCGCAGGCCTTAAGTCGGGCCTGTCCCCCTATAGGGGGATTTTGGGCGAAAAATAAAAAGTACTCCAACAAAAAAACCCCAATGGTCAAGCAATAAAAAAAAAATCGGCCCCAGACTATTTTTTGACTATTTTGGAGTGTCCCCCCTGTAGAGGGACAAGCCCGACTTAACGCAAGCCTCTCGACTCTAAATGCGGGGCGTGCAGCGCAGCAGCGTGCACCACGGACCGGCAGCCGGCGGCCGCGCTCCGGAGCGCCGCCAGGTCGCTCGCGCACCCGACAACGTCGGTCGTCCCTGCAGCAGCGAGGTCGAACCCTCGGCACCGCACGCCGTTCGCTCGAAACACCTCGACGAGAGCCGCTTCGGGGGCGGCCAAGACGGGGGCGTCCAAGAGGGGGGGGTGCAAATCATGGCTGGCGGCATGTGCGCGGCCCCAGGAGGGGGGCACAGGGACGCAATGAAATCAGAAGAGGCGCCATGAGATCTGGGGGAATATCATGGCCCACGCCATGATAACACCCCTAGTCATCACCCCCATCTTTGCCGCCACCGAGCCGAGCCCAGGTAGCCAGAGCTTCCAGTCACGAGCACCGGGGAGGCGGCCTTGAGGGACTGCAGCAAGGGCTGCAGCGTGCCCTCCTCTCTCAGACGTGCGAGCGTCGATCGGATGCATGCAGCCTTGCTCCGCGAAAAAAACCGCAGAGCTTCCTGCCTTTCGCCCACCAGGAAGTACTCGGGCGCCGACCCGACCTGTAGCGATAATCTCGCCCGCTTGGCGCTCGGCTCTTTCGAGGCACTCATATCAGGGCAGGGGCGCCAGCAAGCCAGCCTCCCGTCGAGCCAGATATCGATTGAGCCAACTCATTGTCACGGATTCCGAGGCGTCTACCGGACCTTGGGAGACGGGGAGGAGACAACAATAAAGGGGTACAAGGCCTTCCGTTCGCAGGCGCCTCACCCTCAGCTTCAGCTGCTGAGGCTGTAACCTGCTCTTGACCACCATCCCGGCGTGTTGTACGTTGTAAGTTACCTACCCTCTGCTGACGCTCTCTTTTGTGTGCAGCTGCCTTCCGCACGTGAAACAAGCCTGCACTTCCAAGATGGGCGTGGACTCGAAGGATCATCCATAGCTCTCAGTCTCGAACGCTATTGCCACTTGTGCCCGCTCTGTGTTTCTGAAACACTGCTTCCAACAACGCATCTCTTGGTATGTGGCGCAGTGCCCAAGCCCCTGGCGGTCCGGATAACGAGAATACCAGAAGAGCCAGACCAGACTCTTCGAATGCAACGGCCCCCCCGCTCGGGGGGAGCCTGTGGGATTCCGGGGCTCGCCGCGCGATGCTCCCCGAAACCCAGGAACACAATGGGGAATCCAAGCTTTCAACATGGCCAGGGTGGCCCCAAGGCCCAGTCCGGAGCCCTTAATGGAAATCTCCTCAACCTTCTCGGGGGCGCTGCGGGCAGATTCAACGGGCTGAAATTAGAACGTAGCACTTGTTTTAACGACGTCCCAAAACGGCCCCGAGATTCTCCAGGAGGCTCCCAAGCGATACCGGCGTTGCTCCCCAAGAGACCCCAAGAGGCTTCCCAAAGGCCTCTGATCGACGACACAGGCTCGGTGGCAGGATTGGCGGAATGAGGCCAGACAGTTGCAAACGCGCAGGTGCTTGTAACCTGTAGTATCTCTGTCTCTTTGTCTCTCTCTCTCTCTCTCGCTCTCTCTCTCTCTCTCTCTCTCTCTCTCTATATATGTATATATGGCCCCTATCGTGCGAGAACGAGAGATAGAGGGAAAGAGAGAGAGAGAGAGTGGAACAAACATGAAAACAGAAAACACAAAAGAGACAGAGAAAGAGAGAGAGAGAGAGAAACAACAACATCAAAGCACGTAAGCGCAAGAGAGGGACGGAAGATATTGGGAAAGGGAGAACGAGAGAGAGAAAGAGAACGAGAGAGAACACGTGTTTCTTTCCTACCTCTTCGGCCACCTCAAACTGACTCCTGCTCATCCTCGCTCACCCCTCTCTCTCCTTCATCACCGTCCCTGCAGTAAGAAAGATACCCCCGTCTCTCTACCCCCCGTTTCAAAACATACAGGTCCGTCTCCCCCCCCTCTCTCTCACTCTCTTTCTCCCGTCCTCCTCTCTCTCTCTGTATCTCTCCTTTTTTTTTTTTTCTCTCTCTCTCTCTCTCTCCCTCTCTCTCTTCAAAGGAATCAACCAGAAACTGAACCAATCAGGATCAAAGTAAAACAAACACGGGGGGATTGAACCGCAACCCAAGCATAGCAGCATCTGAGACTGCATTGCATCTTCCTTGCAATTTCCAAGGACGTGTGGGCTTTCACGGCCTCCGTCCCTTCTCTTCCCACCCCTTCCTCACCCTCCCTCCCTCCACCTCCTTCCGCTCTCTGCCGCTCTCTTCTCCACCTCTCTTCCGAGAGAGAGAGAGAGGGAGAGAGAGAGACAACAAAAACAGGCAACAAGAGAGAAAGAGAGAGAAAAACAAAGGAGAAAGAGCGAGAGAGAGAGAGAGAGAGTCAGATCGAGAGTCTCCGTAGCCGCCTTGGCTCAAGCGATCGCACGGTGCCGCCTCGCGCCCCGTCCTGGAGCGTGCGCTGTCAGCGCCCAAGAGGTGCTCCTGCGGCGCTGCATGGGCGCCGGCATGGTGGAGGCGGCACTCCGCGCGGTGATCGTGGCGAAGGGCGCCAGGCGCACGGTGACTGAGGTGGCCCGTGCGACGGCCGCGGCGGGAGGAGGAGGAGGAGGAGGAGGAGGAGGAGGAGGAAAGGGAGGAGGAGGAAAGGGAGGAGGAGGAAAGGGAGGAGGAGGAAAGGGAGGGGGAGGAGGAGGAGGAGGAGGAGGAGGAGGAGGAGGAGGAGGAGGAGGAGATGGAGGAGACGGAGATGGAGGAAATGGAGGAGATGGAGGAGATGGAGGAGATGGAGGAGAGGAGGAGGAGGAGGAGGAGGAGGAGGAGGAGGAGGAGGAGGAGGAGAAGGAGGAGGAGGAGGAGGAGGAGAGGGGAGGAGGAGGAGGAGGACGAGGAGAAGGAGCGGCGGCCGCGGCAAGGCCTTCGGCACGCGCGGCGGCGCCGCCGCTCGCCGCCGCTGGCCCGGCTGCCGGAGCCCTTCCCCAAACACAGGCGGCTGCTCCGCCGGCGGCCGCCTCGGCGGCGCCGCCGCCGCTCCGACGGTGGTGGCGGCGGGCTCCCTCGGACCGGCTCCGAGGAGAGCCTCGGCGACTCCTGGGCGGATGGGGCGAGGCCCCTGCCGCCGCAGGAGCGGGGCGGCGGACACGCTGGGGCTGGCGGCGGTGCCGCCCGCGGAGGAGGTGTCCGCCCTGGCGCCCGCGACTGCTGCTGCGGGGAGGCTGCGGCCCCGCAGGAGGCCCAGGATTGCAGGGAGGAGGCGGAGCGCACGGGCCTCCTCGTGCGGCAAGCCGTGGAGCCTGGCCCCCGCGAGGGGCTTCTCTCCGGGCCGCGACCCCGCTCGGCAAGCTGCGCCTGGTCTTCGAGCAGCTCCGGGACCCGGGCAGCGCGGCGCAGTCCTCTCCTCGAGCGAGACTGTGCCCCTGGGGTGTCGGCCTCAGGGCATGGCCCGTGCGCAGCTCCCACGTCGAGGCGTGTGCCGCCCCTGCGGGGGCAGTGGTCCTGCACAGGAGGGTCGGCCTCGGGGTGCGGCTCCGTGTGGTGGCGGCCTCAGGGTTTGGCGACGGGTCCAGTCCTCCGCAGGGGGAGGCCGGGCAGGGGGCGTGCGGCCCCAGGGTTACGGCCCCGCAGGGGACGCCCGAGTGGTGCGAGCGGGGAGGGCGCGGGAGGCGCCCAAGGTCCTGCTGTGTTCATCGGCGCGCTCCGAGGCTCCGACCTTGCGGTGCTTCCTGCGGTGCGCAGAGAAAGAGAGAGAGAGAGAGAGAGCAAGAGAGAGCAAGAGAGACCCAGAGAGGTAAAGAGATAAAGAGGTGTATATATGTATATATATGATATATATATATAATTATATATATATATATATATATATAGAGATAGAGAGAGAGAGAGAGAGAGAGAGAGAGAGAGAGAGAGAGACAGAGAGGGAGAGAGGCGGAAGAGGGATATAGAGAGAGGGAGAGAGCTGACGATCTACATTCTTACACACATCAAAGTACAATTGCAAACGGTAGAAAACTACTGCAGCGCAAAACGATGAGGAAGCATACGCGTGAGTGCAACAAGGCAGCCACACATTCAAAACCACCGCTTGGGATCCCAAAAACATTTGTCATATTGTTCCCTACATCCACAATGGATCTACGCACACCCCGCACAGGATCTCCTCCTCCTCCTCCTCCTCCTCCTCCTCCCCTCTCCTCCACACTCACGCACTCATGAACTCACACACTCACTCATCATCATCAGCAGCATCATCATCATCACCATCATCATCATCATCAGCATCATCACCACCATCATCATAACCATCACCATCCCCATCACCATCGTGGTCGTGATCACCACCACCACCACCACCACCACCACCACCATCATCATCATCATCATCATCATCATCATCATCATCATCATCATCATCATCATCATAATCATCACTATCATCATCATCACTATCATCATCATCGCTATCCTCATCAGTATCATCATCAGTATCATTATCATCGTCATCATCATCACCACCACATCATCATCATCATCAGCAGCAATATAATCATGACCATGACCATCGCCTTCACCATCGCCATCATCCTCGCCACAAGTTTAATCACCCACACTCGTCACTCACATTCACATCATCATCACCACCATCGCCATAATCATCACCATCATCATCATTATCATCATCAGCTTCGCCGTCGTCGTCACCACATTATGTTTTCGCACTGCCACCATCCCATCATAATCATCGGCCATCGATCGTCCTCGTCATCCTCATTATTACCATCACCACCACCACCATCATCACCATCATCCCCGCCGTCACCATCACCAGCATCATCATAGCACTTGAGCATCCCAAGGGGGCAACTCGTGAGGATGTCTCGAGCGAGCGCCTCGTCTGTGAGTGAATGGCAAGGCCCTCCCTATTGGGCCCGCAGGTCCAACAAGCCCCACAGGTCGCACAATTCCCACTGGCCGCACATGTTTCAAAAGTCACACAAGGGGCATCCTGGTATCCTCGCATCTTGGCAGCATCACCATCATTAGTCGCCAATGAAGGTGGTGCTGATTCACATTAAGGAGATTATCATTTGGGGCACTTCCGTCGGACAAATTTTTCTGGTAATATCAGGAATTGTTTGCCAGTTGTGGTATTATTTTGTGTTTGTGCGTGCGGCTGTTTTGTAGTGTCAAAGGTTTCGTCCAAGATGAGCAAGCCAGTGACTTCTCCTCCGACTCCCCTCTCTCTCCCTCTCCCTCTCTCTCTGTCTCCCTTTCTCTCTCTCTCTCTCTCCCTCCCCCTCTACTTCGCAAAAAAAAAAACGCCTCGTCCACAATAGAAAACAATGCGAAGTTAACCTGTCGCTCTCTCTCTCTCTCTGCCGGTTTGTTTCCTCATGTGTTTTTCTTTCTCTGTGTCTCTCTCTCTCTCTCTTTCTCCCTTTCTCTCCTCCAACTTTCCGACCTCTATATATCTCTTCCCCTTCTCTCTCTCTCTCTCTCCCACCCGCCTCCCTCGTCCTGCTTCTCCGCATGTTCCTCATCCCTCCTGCTCCTCACCGTCATATTCATTCGCAGATGCGTCAACATCTGCATCAACATTTTTGTTCAAGCGCCTCGGGCTTGCATATGTGAAAATGGGGCCCCAAGGGGGGCTATCATACACACATGTAACTCATAGATACATATCTACCTCTACACAT